GGGGGGGGGGGGGGGGGGGAGCTCGGGGCATAGCCGGGGGCGTCCCCACCCCACCCAGGTCCACCCAGACCAGCCAACACCGCCCAGCTGCCCTCCTGTCGGCTGAAAGGCGAGGCCGCCTGCTGAGGCGTGGTTCCAGAAGGGGGAACTGCTCAGGCAGAAGGAACCCCATAATGTTGCCCTGGTGCCGGTCAGGAGTGATGGCCCAGCAGCTCACGGAGGAAGAGGCAAGGCCCCATCAATTCTCATCTTCCCGCTGGACAGCCTTAAAAGTCTACAAGGAGGGACTTCCCTGGTGGTCCAGCGGTTAGGGCTCTGCGCTCTCACTGCCGAGGGCCCGGGTTCAATCCCTGGTCGGGGAACTAAGATCCCACAAGCCGCACAGCACGGACCAAACAAAATCTACAAGGAGCTGTGAGGCCGAATGAATCCCAACACTGAGAAGATAAATATTTCCGACAGGCACGAGCCCTAAGGGGCTTTGGACCCCATCATGTTGTTTGTTTTTATAGAAGAAACAAGTCCATTGCTGCCTGGGAGCTGCCGTTTGGAAGCCCTGGTCATTTACCCCTCGAACGAGGCAATTGGACACTTGGGAAGCTGGGGGTGGGGGCGGGACTAGTAAACTGTACAGACTCGGTTTTATCCGCGACCTAAATTAAAACACAATCATGATTGCAGCCCCTGCCAATCAGAAGCAGACCAGCCCAGGGGATTCAATTAAAATGCTAAATTAATTCAATTGAATAACTCCTCTTAATGACACATTCTTCTAAAAGGAAATTAGAGGAAATTTAAGATGTTCTTTTTTTTGACTGACTGGTGATGAGTCCATTGTTCATAGCTCCAAAGAAAAAATAAACGGCAGGGCAGCTGCATACAATAGACAGGGTCGGGGTGAGGCCTCACCTGCCACCAGCTCCAGCTTCTCGCCGGGGTCCCCCTCGGAGTAGAGCTTGGGGTGGCAGCGGTACCCGATCTGGCTGATGAGGCTGGCGGGCAGGGCCACCAGGTCGCGGCGGATGAGGACGCAGGAACGGCTCTCCAGTGGCACGGGCTCCGGCTTCTCTTGCACTGTGGGCCCAGAGGCCACCCAGTCAGGGACACAGCAGATCTCCCCTCCTGCCCACCCAGGCCCGGGCCAGGCCTGCTGCATGCCTGCCCTCCCCGCCCACCAGGCGCTGCCTCAGCCGGGAGGACCTGAGTGAACCAGAGAGCAGAGAAGACAGGCGAGGGACTCCCAGCCGGCCTGGGAGCAAGTCGCTGGGGGCCTGGGAGGCTCCCAGGGTGGGGATGTCCAGCAGGCTGAGGCCAGCAGGGAGAGCGGGTATGAGGGCTCAGGGCCGGGGGTGGGGGCAGGGCGGAGCTTGCGGGGGAGGGAACAGACCTGTACGGTCAACCGCTCCCCAGCCTGTCTCCTCACAGCAGCCCCGTTCTACAGGTGGGGGGAACGCAGCCCCCCTGCACGTGGGCACCCCGCCCCCAGAGGCTGCACCATGTTTCCCTGGCCAAGTACAACTCCATCAATATTCGCCAACAGTAACGCCAGGCGGTGGCACAGCCGGGCAGCGCTGACGCTGTCTCCACGCCGGCTCCGGGCCTCCGGGCCGTCTGGGGATGTTCCTGACAAACCACTACTGGGGGTCATCCAGGGACCCCCCAGGCACGCCAGCACCTGCAGCTATGATGGGGTGGGAGGATGGGGAGTGGGGGAGGCCCCCTCGGAGTCCCCGTGTCACACCCTGAGCCCAAGCACCACACACAGGACACCAAGCAGAGGATGGGCTGGGGGTTCCCTCTCGGGCTCATGGGGTGGGGGGGGGCTAGTCTATCGGGCACTTGCTGGGCACCCAGCACACCCAGGTGCCTCCCCAGGCGCTGGGAGGCCGAGGGCCTGCCCCCTGCTTGCTGGGAGTGCCCAGCCCAGAGGGTTCAGCA